CATTTTACGATGCTCGGTGACGAACAAAAGGCGTGTCAATTTTTAGATATTAGGTAGATAAAGTTGGTTAGAATTGCACAATAGCAAAATTAAATGCATAGACGTAAGTAGCTATTAATATCTTCAGCCAGTAATTCATACATTCTGACAACCAAAAACCAATTATATTTGTTACTTCCAAGCTTTAAGAAGCTTTCATTCGCCTACCGTTGAAGGTTAACAGGTTCACTATTCTTTACTTTCATCCTGTCCTGTAGATCAAAACTCTAATCAGACCAGATCAGAAACCTTTACTAGGTGAGAAGTGGACTTCCTTGGATGGACGTCTCCGTATTTTACATTCGCAAATAGTTAGTGGCCTAATACAGAAGCCCAAACGATTGTAAGATTTTCATGTCCCTATTTCAATGCTTTGAGCGACGCTGCTGAACTGTTATTTGCTAATATTTTAGTTTATAGTTATAGCAGATCGTGTATAACCATTGCCAGATATATACCTGCTTCAGCTCACTAACAAAATCAAACCTTTTTTTTTTGGGGTTATTGGCCTCTTGCTGTTTCACGTTAAACACGGCAATGGGGTGTGCGTCCACGGTTGGAGCTAGAGGACAGAGCAATGAACCAAACTTCCCCAAAATTAAATATGAGAATTATTCAGAAGACTTCGAATTTTTGTATAAGCGAACATTAGAGCTTCGAATAACAAGCTTCAGTTGATATTTCTAATGACAAGCTTTACGCAACCTCTAAGGGTCAGCGCATCGCATCTGGAACCATACCAGTCATCTCCAGTTGTCCACCTCCAAACGCAGACGGCTGGTGCGATGCGGACATATGGTCAGGCCTTCTCATAGCATCGAAATCTTCGCTGATGTCTTGCCTCCGTCAACTAGGATCTGCCATGGCTTCCTGGATATAAAGATTTAAAAAAGAATTAACGTGGATCCTAGTTTTAGTGTTTACCGGTGGCTTTCAATGTTATATGAAAAATTACCAAGCATTTTCGCAGCCCAATATGGTTTTGTAATTTACTAGCTTATATGATAAACTAGTCTTCCTTTTCACCACTACTGACTTATTTGCTACCTTAACATTGTGAAACTACTATTGACTCAATAAATCGCAAAAACATGCAAACTCCAATAACATATTGATGATGTTGTTCTCACTGGATCAAAATAATCACACGCAGGCGGAAAAACAAATACTGACTGTCGTGTCGAGGATCTTACTACATTGTTTTACGGTTGCATAAATAACATTATGCTATCTTGCTAGTTGCCTGCTACGTACCTTGCTTAGTTTACTATGATTAGTCTCAATCTCACCAATAAGAAACCTTCAGTACTGCATGCTCTACAACGAACTCACACTATTGTCTATGGCTTTAATATTTCACTCTGAATAAACCAGATTACTGTGCACTCACGTGTGTTTACTTGCTTGCCATATGAAAGTTACACACAAAAACAAATGGTATCAAGGCAGTGGTGGTGAAACCTTCACAAACGTGGCTAACACAACTGTGGATGTGTGGTCCACACATTTAAACTAATGGACAGCAAGTTTGTAGGAATGGTCCTATATACTAAGATAAGCTGTGCAATAATCATGTTCATGATATTTTACCTGGTACAGGTTTTTCATTGAAGCGCATCTCAACTGTGTGAGTGATTGGTTTCTCTGGAACAAATCGCCCTCGGAAATGCTGCTTCCCTGTTTCCGTGACATCACAATTAACATGGCCACCATTCACCATTATCTCCAGACTTCCTGAACCGGCTTGTGTCGCATCAACTAGAAAATACAATAAATTACGAGTTCAGTTTAACGAACAGAAGGTGTGTCAATTTTAATATTAGGTAGTAAAGTTTGGTTAAAATTGCGCATAGCAAAATTAAATGCATAACTAATGTAGGCTATTATATTTCAGCAGTATTGCATACATTCTGACACAAACCATATATTTGTTACTTCCAAGCTTTAGAAGCTTTCATTCCTACCGTTGAAGGTGACAGGTTCACTAATCTTTACTTTCATCCTGTCCTGTAGATCAACTCTAATCAGACCAGGATCAGAAACCTTTATGGTGAATGGACTTCCTTGGATTGGACGGTCTCCGTATTTTACATCCAAATAGTTAGTGCCTAATACAAACACAAACGATTGTAAGATTTCATGTCATATTTCAATGTTTGACCTGCTGAACTGTTATTTTGCCTAATATTTTAGTTTATAGTTAGTACAATCGTGTATAACAATTGCAATATATACCTGCTTCAGTCACTACAAAATCCACTTTGTATTGGCCTCTTGCTGTTTCAGTAACACGGCATGGGGTGGTGCGTCCACTTGGAGCTAAGACAGAGCAATGAACATCAATATAAAATGAGAATTTTCAGAAACATTCGAATTTTTGTATAAGCAACATAGAGCTTCGAATAACAAGCTTCAGTTGATATTTCTAATGATCAAGCATTTACCATACCTCTAAGGTCAGCAATGATCTTGGAGCCATACAGTCCACCAGTGTCCACCTCAAACGCAGACGACTGGTGCATGCGGACATTGGTCAGGCCTTCTCCATAAGCACGAATCCTGCTGATGTCTTTCCACCAGTGTCCACCTCAAATGCAGACGACTGGTGCATGCGGACATTGGTCAGGCCTTCTCCATAAGCACGAATCCTGCTGATGTCTTCCTCCTCCACAAAAATCTGCCATGGGCTTCCTGTGAAAGCAAGACAGTACAGTTAAAATTTCAATAGTTAGTTTACATTTGCAAGAACACTTCTACATTATACACCAATATCAACTGTGCAATGCTTGGGACGTTTTATATTTTACCTGGTACTGGCTGATCATTAAAGCGCATCTCGACCGTGTGAGTTATCGGTTTTTCTGCAATAAATCTTCCTTTGAAGCGCTGCTTTCCTGTTTCTGTGACATCACAGTTAACATAGCCACTGTTGACCATGATCTCCAGGTTTCCTGATCCAGCTTGTGCTGCATCAACTAGGAAAGAGAATTGACCTCGACTGTATTCAGTGTTCACAGTAATAACGAGATCTTGTTTTTAACAGAATGGTTCTTAATAGACTACAATAATTTAGATAATGATCGATTGCAAAGTAAGAACTGCACTTAAGTCAATGATAAATTTTTATTATGAAATATTTATTATATATATATATATCTAATAAAATATGATACTATACTATTTAAATTACCATTTTTATAATTATATAATTTATTGCAAACACATTGACACTATTCACAGACTTGTCACAGCCAAGCTTTACAAGCATTACCATTAAACATCATTACCATTAAAGGTGACAGGATCACCAATCTTGACTTTCATCCTGTCCTGTAGATCAACTCTAACCAGACCAGGATCAGAAACCTTTATCGTGAACGGACTACCTCGGATTGGACGGTCTCCGTATTTTACATCCAAATAGTTAGTGCCTAATACAAACACAAACGATTGTAATATTTCATGTCATATTTCAATGTTTTACCTGATAAAGAGTTATTTTGCCTCATATTTTAATTTATATTTAGTACAATCGTGTATAACAATTGCAATATATACCTGCTTCGGTGACTACAAAGTCTACTTTGTATTGGCCTCTTGCTGTTTCATTAACACGGCATGGGGTGGTGCGTCCACTTGGAGCTAAGACAGAGCAATGAACATCAATATAAACAGTGCATTATTAAAATTCATACAAACAAATTAACTAGGCGATTCAAATACCAGGCTACAGTTGAGTGGACTGTTCAAGCATTTACCATACCTCTCAGGTCAGCAGTGATCTTGGAGCTATATAGTCCACCAGTGTCCACCTCAAACGCAGACGACTGGTGCATGCGGACATTGGTCAGGCCTTCTCCATAAGCACGAATCCTGCTGATGTCTTCCTCCTCCACAAGGATCTGCCATGGGCTTCCTGTGATAGAAGGATACTATT